GTAGCCCATCCCGATGTAGGTGTTGTATGTGCTGTTTCTCTGGTAGCTGCGATAAACAGATGAATACGGTAAAAGTTCTGATTACAAGTTTCAAGAATTCAGCAAAATAAATAATCCATGTTCAAATTTGGACACACCTGGTGTCAAAGGTCACCCCGTTCAGGAAGGTTCCGTTGTAGTGGTACCGAATGTAGTCCCCCGCCACGGACCTGCGGGTGCAGGGCTCAGGAGCCTCCTGGTTCTCGATGGTGATGTTATCTTTCGGGTTGTGAATGTCCTCCAACAGGACGTCAAACACCAACGTCGCCTGAGGGGGAATCATGGTTCCTGCCACACAGATACAACCAATAACATGATTATAACCCACACTGCTACTAGGCTTTAACCATAAACACAGCATATGAGCTCATTTTGGAGGGGAAACCTTTATTTTTTATTCTTTGTCATTAGGTTTGCTGAGTGAAGCATTTTATAGCTGAGAAAAGCTGATTATTCTCTTATTTTTATCTAGAAACAAGCAGCAGTTTATCACTTAGTTCACTAATTTTAATGTGAAAGAAAGAGGAAGGAATATCACTTTTTGATCAAACAAAAGGTACATGTATGTGTGGGCTGGTGGCAGAGTTTAAAGTTTTTAAATGTTAATGTTAGGCCTGCAAGGTGTGCAATAACTTTGGTCTTCTGTTGTTTTTAAACTGTTGTTTGAGCTGTTTATTTGTATTTTATGTGCATTTGGGAAGCTGCTACTACACACCACAATAAAGTATATTCTATTCTAATTTAAAAATTGCAAATATTTTCTGTCATCCTGCTCTGAGTTTTCTCTGAGGAAGGAATCTGTTTAATGAGAAGATGGAGGTTAAATCAAGGCTTCAAAAATCTGCAGATGTTCACAGAACCTCTCCATCTAATCTGACTGTTTCTACAAAGTATTGACTCGGGGAAGCAGAATGCACATGCACGCCACACTTTTCAGATTTTTATGTGCAAAAACAAACTTGGAAACCATGTAATCTTTTCTTCCCCCTTCAGATTTATGCATGACTTTATGATGGTTTATAACATCAAATCTCAGTAAAATTCTTTGACGCTTAATGTGACAAAAATGTGGAAAGTATAAAGGAATATAAAGCGTTGTGTATTTCTTAGCAGTTTCCTACAAGCTCCATATTAAGAGACTGAAAAAATGAATGAACGTGAATAAATCAATATTTCTTCAATTAAATGTAATACTGTTACGGCGTATTAGACCCATTCTAAGAAAAAATAAGATTATGAGAATAAAGTCATATTACGATAATAAATTCCTACAAGAAAAGTCACAATATCACAAGAAGAAATTAGTACAAGAATAAAGTCAACATAATATAACAGTCACATTTTGAGAATAAAGTTGAAATAATACAAGAATGAAGTCATAACAATATAATAGTCATTTTGAGAATACATCATAGTACTATGAGAATAAAGTCAAAATAATAGAATAAACATAATAATATGAGAATAAAGTTGTAATATTACGAGAATAAACTCAGTATTAATACAAGAATAAAGTCAAGACAACGTGAGAACAAGGTCATAAAATTAGAATAACGTAAAAATATTACAAGAATTAAATCAGAATATGAGAATAAGGTCTTTTTATTCTAGCATTGCTGTAATACTCCATCACATAAAGATTAAAATCAGGAAAGCTCTCGTATCGTATCTGCTGTGTCTTCCTACCTGATCCTTTTTCTCCGTACGCTTTGAATGGTGGAATTACGATGTGCCTGATCTCCCCCACACACATGCCCAGCAGGCCCTCGTCCATGCCCTTCACCAGCCAGCCCTCACCCACCAGCGAGTTGTAGGTCTGCTTCCTGTTGTAGCTGCGCGGGGCTCACACAAGAGCTAAGTCAGTCACACACATAAGCAGACACAGAAAACACACCTGGACACAGCGCAGACACACACACACAGGTTGTCGATTTGGCTCAAGCCTGCAAGTAGATTCTGTTTGGTTTCATTTAGACGCCGTTTTCAGTTTAACTTCTAAATGAAGTTAGAGAAGCTGAGGAAATCTCTCCGTTAAAACAGCAAAACGTCCAGAACTCACCTGGAGTCGAAGGTGGTCCCATCCAGCAGAGTGCCGTTGAAGTGGTAGCGCACAAAGTCTGTGCGCATCACGGAGCGTTTGCAGTCTTTGGGCGTGCTGACGGTTCTGGTGACGACCAGGTCGGCCTTGTTCCACAGATCCAGGAGATGGATGTCGAACACCAGCGTGGCGTCCGGAGGAACCGCATCACCTGGAAGCAAAATGTCACGGCAAGTTTAATTCAACAGTTTGATTATTTAAAGTATTTAAATAATAATTTAAAGTAATTATTACTTTAAATTCACCCTGTTTGAGCAATAACAGTTACATCTAATTATGCAAGTAATGGGGTTTCTGCATCTGCAACAAAAACTTATTTTAATTCAATTTTGAAACAACGAAACACGATTTTCAGTAGAACTCCGGTTTAGTTTACTGAAAACAGGACAGAGGCGATTCACAACTTCACATCACCAAGTAACAAAAAGATTTCAGTCCAGTCTGACTGATATTGAACTTTTCTATGTTAGATGCAACTGCAGCAAAATGGCTTTCTACAAAAGATGTAGAAAGCTTAGATTTTTTTTTTAGTCTAAAATGTCCCCCAGAAATGAAAATCTACCTGCCCCGCTGCTCCCGTAAGCCAGGTGTGGCGGGATGGTGATTTTCCTGCGCTCATTCACGCACATCCCCTGCAGGCCTTTATCGACGCCAGCGATGAGCCGACCCTCCCCGATCAGGCCGACTTTGGCTGCTCCTTTCTCATAGCTGCAAGTGAGGAAAACCCCCGGAGGTTGAAGGAGAAAATGTCAGAAGTGGGTCAACCTTTGGAGGATGTTTGTATCTGCAGGGCATGCATGTTAGTGGAAGCTGCGAACTTGTTTTAACCTGCATTTTCACTCCGTTCAAAGTCGAGGATTCTCTGGAAAACCTTTGAAACCGGCAAACATTTTTCTAGTCTCACCTCGAGTCCAGCGTCTTCCCGTCGGTAAACGTGGCGTTGTAATGGTAGCGGACGTAATCTCCAGTTTTCGCCTCCCTCACGCAGTCTTTGGGGATCTCGTATCTGTCCACGACAACATCTCCCAACACGGGGCTGGGATTAGACTCCACGGAAAACCACGCAACCAGAACAGAGAAGACAACGCAAAGGGGAAGCATTTTTACACAAAGGGGGTCAAATGACTTAAAAGTGACGTAAAAGCAGTAGAAAAATGGACATTAGGCCGAATTGAAAAGAAGCGGAGGCGATCTAAAGGCCTGCGTGTGGGGAGTGCGTTTTTCCACGCAGAGGGCTGCGGATGTGGAGCGGGGCTGTAAACGTGGACAGTCTCCAGGTCGCTAAGACTTTTTTTCTTTTTTTAAGAGTGGGAGGAATGTAAGAGGGAGTGGGAAGCACTTCAGCTCAAATTTCCACAATAAGAAATAAGGAGCTTCTTCACAGAGTCGCAATAAATCCAACCAAACATTTTAAAACATCCAGTTTGTGTTGCTAAAAAAAAGTTACCTTTTTTTTTTAAATCTTATTTACTCTAAAGGTCTTCCCTTGTAATTTGTTGGTCTTGAATACGTTTGACGAAGTTTGATGTTTTCAGAATAAAGTCGATGTGAGATCTTAAAGTTAATCTGATCCTGAATACTTTAAAGCAAGGCGTTTGTTGATTTTATTTTGAAATCAGAGCGACGCCGCTGCATGCAGCTGCAGAGGTCCGCCTCTCAGCCATAAAACAACCGGAGAGCAGTGACTGAACAGTTTCCAGCTTCCACTTTCTGACCAGTAGAAGAGAATCACGTTTTTAGCTGAAACGGAAAAAGTGTGGAACGCTTTAACTAGGCGAAATGATCCACGCAATGGTTGCTTGTTAGCGGAATGAAGCATGAATGTGGCCTGGGGCGAATAAAAGAGATTTTAACAAAACAATAATCAGAAGGACCTGGTTGTATAGAGGCCCAAAAGTGCCACAATTCAATAAATAAGAATTAATGTGCTTCTAATGAATCTTGTAACTGTAAGAAAATACAGATAATTTGATAAATGGATAATTAATTTGTTATATTAAAGATATCTCAAAATACAAAAACTTATTTTGTATGTATATTTTGCATCTGTTTGGACACATGACTGTTCGTCTCTGTTTACTTTGGATGAAGTATATTGGCGCATGTAGCCAATTAGATGTTAAGCACATTCATGTATCATCTTTTTATTGGCTATGCTTTTATCATATGGAACCCCTTCGGATGTTTACATCCCGAAGTTGTAGCTGGAGGGCAAATATACTATTCTTTTACATGCTATCCGTAGCCGGGTTGCCGTGTAGAACAATCATGTAACATAAATGAAATCTGGAGACGTAGGTATTATTAATTTAGGGCTGTGTGCCACAGCAAATGGTAAAATAACGCAGAAAAACTCAACCCCCCCCCCCCCTCCCCTGGCCTAAGCTGCGCAGTCTCGTTGCCATAGCAATTGACAACACCACTTTATGCAACAGGATTCAACACCAAAAAACACTCAAACATTTCATACACATTCAGTCCGTTACACTATCATGTTCTTAGGCTTGATGTTTATTTTGCGATTATTAACATAAGCAATCGCTGTGGTAGATTAGCTACCGCTGCTATTAGCTAAGTTAACACTGCGGCGGTAATTAGCTAAACTTGCTCTACTGATGATCTGTTAGAATTGGTGTGTCGGTTGCTTTTTTTTATTTTTAACTGAAACAAAACGCACCAAATTCCACATCACATCTACATGTTAAGGCTGTCAACTACTTTCCTCTCCCTCACTATTTCTGATCTTCCCAGCTAGCATCCAATGTTCAGATGACGTTGTCATGAACGTTCGTCGGACGTTTACCGGACAATTTAAAACGCCATTAAACGTTATTTAGTTGTAGTGTTGACAGCAAAGCATTATGTTCCTTTTCCTCACGTCAAAAACAGCCACTAACTTTTTATGGTTTATAAGACAAAACCAGTTTGGATTTGAAACAGACAAGCTCAGAGATTGTTCTTTTCCAGGCGCTCCAGTCAAAGGAAAATCAAAACGGAAATAAACCTGGCTGTTGACCGGTGAGCAGTTCTCTGTTTTAGTGACGCTGAGAAATTCCCAATCCCAGAATTCCCACAAGCCCCTGATCACTTCAGCAGACCACCAAATCACAAACTCTGCAGAAGAGAGGAGGGAAACGCGGGAATGTTTTCTCATCATGGTTGGACTGAGCGCAAAAAGAGGCTTGTATTTAATATTTCTAATGCTTTTCTGTGTGAACTTTGTGTTTTTTAAGACATCCGCACAATATGAGAGCTACAGCTTCATAAGTTTTCCCAAAGAACTCCTTCCTCTCACCGCAGCCTACGGACTGGCGCTGGACAGCTACGTAGCAGGAAACTGGACCGAATCCATCCAGTACTTGGAGCTGAGTTTGCGTTTGCACCGACTTCTCAGGGAAAGTGTGCGGTTCTGCTCGCTCCAGTGTAACAGCAGCAGTCATGAGGAGCCGCTTTTCCTCGCAGCAGCCCCGGATCTAAGCGTCTGCTGGCGCGTCATGCGGACGGCGTCCTGTCAGAAGAAGTGCAGGGCGCATTTCCCGGTCCTGCAGCTGCCGCCTCCCGGCATCGAGATCCTGGAGGAGTTCAGCAAAAGATCCCCGTACAGATATCTGCACTTTGCTCACGCTAAGGTAGGACGCAAAGCGTGGAAATAGCTAGTTTACTTTATATACAGAAATTGGTTTTTACTACGCTGTACTTTTTATTTGTACTTGAGTAATATTTCTGAATGAAGAACAAACATGTTTTAACCAAAAATTATCCCCACAGACACACACCTGCAGTTTTTGTTACTTTCGTAAGTTTTATATTGAAAGAAATGTATTTATTTTGTATCCCCAAAACCAGAACCAAACAGGCAGAAGCAGCATTCAGCTTCTACGTGCCACAAATCTGGAATAGATTTCCTGAAAACTGCAAAACAGCCGAAACACTGAGTGCCTTTAAATCCAGACTAAAACCCACCTGTTTAGAGTCGCTTTTGAAACATAATAAATAAAACATTAATCAAGAATCTAATGTGAAATGACAGCAAAATATAATTTTTCAGTTGTTTTATGACTTTGTATTTTTGTGTTTTTATGATATAAAGCATTTTGAAATACCTTGTTGCTGAAATGTGCTGTACAGATAAAATTTGATTTAGTTAATTTTAGTTATATGAATTATTGTCGTCTTCGTCCTTAAAACACCAAATTTTCCACTTAACTTTATATTTTGTCCGTCTGATGATGTCATTTTAAATAGCTATTGATACTGATTGATAATTTGATCAATTCAGTACTTGAGTAAACTTTTTACCAAATACTTTTTTACTCCTACTTTGGTAATTTCTTGTAAGGTCACTTTTTACTTTTACTTAAATAAAAATATGTTGAAGTCGTGTTTCTCTTACCTGACTATTTTCTTGCACGGCTTCTTCTGGATCTTTTTGCATCCTGTTAAGGTCCTGCTCTGACTTCTGCTTTAAATTTCCAGCTGATTACTATTTTTTCCAAGGTTTTTCTGCCTTAATTCTGTTCCCGTCTGCTTCCAGCTCGACGACCTGCAGCGGGCCGTCCCGTGCGCCTACACCTTCCTGCAGAGGAACCCCGAGGACCAGGAGATGCTGCAGCTGATGGAGGAGTACAAGAACGAGTACGACCTAGACGGCTTCCTCATCGACCACGAACAACGACTTTATGAGGTGGGGCAAAAAGCCAGACGCAAAATGATGCAAATGTTCTGAGGGGGAAAAGATCTATTTATTTAACCCCCCTCTGAATTAAAATCACAACTGGTGCCTTGAAGGTTTCTCAACTTTGACCCCTCTGTCCTAATGTGACTTAGAGTACCCAAAAATTTTACTCAAATAAAAGTAGCACTACGTCAACATATTTTTATTAAAGTAAAAGTGAAACGTAACTGTCCAAGAAATTACTCAAGAGTAAAAAAGTATTTGGTAAAAGTCTTCTCAAATACTGGTCAACTGATCAAATTATAAATCATTTAATATTTAAAAGTTACATAATCAGATGAAACAAAATATAAAGTTGAGTGGAAATTTTGGTATTTTAATGACCAAAATGACAATGATTCATTTAACAAAAACAAAAAACAACAAAATTTAGATTTTTTTTCCTTCCAAATCAGTTTCTTTCAATAAAAACTTGTGAAACTTTAACAAAAACTGCAGGTGTGTGTCTGAATCTTTGGTTAAAAGATGTTTGTTTTTCATTCAGTGGGTAGAAAATCCAGAAACTTTACTCAAGTAAGAGTAGAAACACTTCATAATACATTTAATTCAAGTAAAAAGGTAAAGGTAAAAAGAACAGCGTAGTAAAAAATATGCTTAAAAGTAATTTTTTTCAAAAACGTTACTGAAGTAAATGTAACTGCGTAAATGTAACTAGTTACTTCCCACTTTTTAAAAACTTTTCAGCCATCTTTTGTTAGCGGCGTGAAGCTTGTCGACTTGGGGAAGTACAGCAGCGGCTCTGAGCGCCTGGAGGAAGCGCTGAGGCTCTACCTGCAGGAGTATGACCTCTGCCAGGCCGAATGTGACGGGGTCGGCCATTTTTCTTCACACACAGACTTCTACGCTCTGTTAGCCGGTAAATATGAAGTAATTAATTCACTATGAACCCAAGACTTAGGCTTTGATTCTGTTAATCCTAAGATTTTTCTCCATTAACGTCAAGAGTTAAAATTCTCATTAGTTTAATTGAGAATTTGTTGAAGGTGACAACAGAAGACCAACGTTTCAAAACTCGGTGTACCACAAGGTTCTGCTTTTGGCCCACTGCCTTTCTGCTTATATAGTAGTAAATCATCAGAAAGTTGTAAAAGTGACAAAAATGGCAACAGCAACAATAAACATGATCGTTTATTTCAAGAACTTCAACTTTAAGAAAAACTATTGATTTAATTGTTTTTGATTTAATTCCTGGAAGAAAAATTGTATGGCAATTATTCCATTGATTATTTATCCTTTCTGATAAAATATAATTAAATTCCACTGAGTAATTTTGAGCTTATAGTATTTTTACAAAAATAAATAAAATGCCATTGAAAAATAATTACAACCTATAAATCAACATAATGTACCAAACTACACACAGTAATATTTTAATGAATACACTGAAAAAAAAAGAGAACGGAGCTCAAACCTAAAGAAAAAGTTAATTTGTTACATGTAATCAAATTAAGTTTGTTGAACTTACTTTATTTAAGTGAAGTAAGTTTAATAAGCTTAATACATTTACCTGGATAAACTTAATTTGATGACTTGTAACAAATTAAATAATTCTTTAAAATTGGATCACCTGTTTCCTTTTTTCAGTGTAAGATACTAGAATTAATTTTGTAAATGTACATTTAGTGTTATCACTTTTCTGATTGCATGTCGGACACACCAAACAGGCAAATGGTGAGAAACTCAGAAACATGTTGTGTATTTTATTGCTGGTGAATAGTTACCAGTATTTTATGGTTATACTACAAAGTAAAATGAAAATCACATCAGGAAAACGTCTAAAACATCTCAGCTGCTTTTCATTTAAGTAAGGGTTTTATTTTTCTCCACAGAAGTCTACTTTGACACGTTAAAATGCAAGATAAAGTGTGAGGAAAACCTAAAGCCCAACGTTGGCGGCTACTTTGTGGAGAACTTTGTTCCCACTATTTACCACTACCTCCAGTACGCCTATTACAAACGTAAGTTCAGCTCCAGTCCAGCTCTCCAGTACCTCATATTCTTGTTTCTATAATTTTGTAATTTTCAGGGCAGTGAATGACGGGCGCAGAGCCGTACCCTGTGCGTACAGCTACTTCCTGTTCCAGCCTGAAGACCCGGTGATGAAGGACAACCTGCTGTACTATGAGGCCTACAGCCCACAGTGGGGTCTGCAGGCCCACCACTTTACACCCAGAACAGTAAGAAGAACTTTATCTGAAGAAAACCAACAAGAGATTTAGGAAAATGAGACGTAAAACTGAGAAAACATTCAGCTCTGAGTGAAACAGTCCTGCTTTCTCCTGTTTGTTTGTTTGGACTAGCCATAGATGTAACAATGGCTCCTCTTCTGGATGTCCACATCATAAAAATGCATTTAATACAAAAACAGTTGCACACACTTAATATAATATGAAACACTTAACATAATCTGAGAAACATAGCACATTAATACTTGAATGTATAATTACAACTCTATATTATAAAAATAATTAGCAGGACTCTTTTAAAAGTTACATTTAAAACAAATAATGGAAGTGAGTTAAAAAAAATAACAGCTTTTATCCAGCATTCCTGTTGCATGATGGAAGAGTAAAACAATCATTTAAAGCAATTAAAACTGTGTTAAGTTTGGCTAAATAAAAGTTGATTTTATAAAACAGTATCTTAGAAACTACAATATTTCTGAAAAACATTATGGAGCAATATCAACATCAATATTCAATCAAATCAAAGCAGTTTTTATCTGCATGCTTCCAAATTACATCAATCAGCTCCTGCAGTTTTTTTTCACAGAAATTTACACAAAATCAACAGATACCTGCATTTTTTCATGCTAATGCATAACTGTGAGTTTATTGTAAGTTTCCCACAAAAATGGTCAAAACATTGTGTTAAAGTGATGCTGGCTCCCACCTGCAGGTGGCAGTATTTCTTACTTGTACTAAACTGCTGCATCAGCCTGACTTAAGGTCAAGTTGTCTGCGATCTATATGGAGGTTTGCAAAAAGTCACATTTATTGTCACAGAAAAGAGAAAGAATTTCTTGCGTGTATTTCTAAATTAGCTACCGAAAAAAATTTATTTTGAAATTAGAGCAACTTAATGGTGCAGCCTGACTAAATATATTTTAAAAGTATATATCAAAGCCAGCTATAATGACAGCATATTGTCTCCATCTGTTATAATTTGTTTTAACAGGAAGCTCTTCGATTCTACAACCAGACCGTCACTCAAAAACAGATGTTGACGTTTCTAATAAAGTACTTGGAGACAAATGATGAGGTAAGATTGACAAAATGTAATCCTTTAAACATTTTGGTTTATTTAACTCTTTCATATCATCAATAATTCAGCCAGTAAAGACTGGCTTTGTAATATTTCTGTCAAGGGTTTTAGTGGACCAGACGAAAATCCACTTTTGTCCTCCGAGTCTCCCGATGCCGAATTTGAAGGTGTGGGAGATTATGAAGAGTCCATGTTTGCAAAATGGAGGCAGAAGAAAGGAAAAGGAGACGCAGGAGAGGCCGACATCTGAGCTCAACCATTTACAGCTCCAGCTCTGCTGCTTTTAGTAATGTTAGATTCTTAAATTTAATTAAAATAGTATCATAGTAATAACTAAGCATTAGCCATAGTTATGTCATGAAGTTTTTGGCCCTCTGTTTAACAAAACAGCAACAACTTTTAAGCAAACTGTTAAAAAAACTGATCAAATCTGCATTTGCTTTTCACTTTGCTTTATGATGTCACGTTTAATGTCCAAAAAGAGTTTGAAATGATTCACCAGGCTTTTCTTTTACATCACAAAAACCAAATTATTTTGCTTTTTGTTTTTATTCTTGTTTATTGTAACTTTTAATTTTGCTCCATTCAGCTAAATTATAAAGCAACTTTTCCAGATGTATTTGTTTTAAAATATTTTCTACAAATAAATTACATTTTAGTTTCTACTTTTTTCCTGAGGAAATTGGTAACATTATTATTATGTGGTTCTTAGTTAAGGTATTAAGCTCTGTTATGATTATTTTCTAAAATCAATATTTTGTGCAACAGATTTCACAAAAACATTTGTAAGGGTAATTTCTCTGTTGCCTCCCTGGCCTTTATGAGCGCCATAAAGCGACAGAAAGCTTTAAGGCAGTGGTGTTCAAACTTTTTGCAATGGAAATGAAAACTGTCTCTCGTGTTTTTGGGACATTTTTTAATGAAAGTAGGAAGATGGGATTTTACTGGCTCACTAAACTAAAAACACAAAATTTCAAAGAAGTAAGCAAAGTACACATGTTTCTGTCAAAGGCAATCTGCAAACCACTGCAGATCTAAAATATAAATTAGGAAAACAAAAAAAAAAAATAGTGTCCAAAATTTTCAAGATGATAGCCTCCCCAAAATAATATTTATCGTATCTTCCGCATTATAAGGCGAACCTTCAATGAATGGCCTATTTTAAAACTTTTTTCATATATAAGACGCACCGCATTATAAGGCACATAGAATAGATGCTATAGTAGAGGCTGGAGTTACGTTATGCATCCACTAGATGGAGCTGCACTAAAGGGAATGTCAGCAAAACAGTCCGACCCCGGTTGGTGAGGAGAGCCTTCAGACTGGGCCGGGACGTGGCCGGACGATGGTCACCCTTCTCCGTTCCTGCACAGCATGTTTGTGGAGAATGTGGTGCTAAATGACCTGCAGACGACCTGATTATCAGGTCGGAAGGTAGATTGGTCAGTCAAACTTTATTAGCGGATTACAAACCAGCGTTCTGACAACTATCCCAGCATGCACTGTGCGCTTCTTCTTCTACGGGAGAAAATGAAATCGGCGGCTGCTTACCGTAGTTGCTAGACTTGTTGTGGCTCAATATTGGTCCATATATAAGGCGCACCGGATTATAAGGTGCACTGTCGGCTTTTGAGGAAATTTAAGGTTTTTAGGTGCGCCTTATAGTGCGGAAAATACGGTGCTTTATTTTGCCCAATTGGAATTAGAATTGGAATAAGGTTTGGAATTAACCCTAACCATCCCTCCAACCCCAATCAGAACCATCCTTCCAACCCTAATCCAACCCACCCTCCAACCCCAATCAGATCCATCCTTCCAACCCTAATCCAACCCACCCTCCAACCCCAATCAGATCCATCCTTCCAACCCTAATCCAACCCTCCAACCCCAATCAGAACCATCCTTGTTGTTAGTCCTAACCTTGTGGCTATTCCTCTATTTATCTCATAATCTGTTTTGACCTTAAAGTTTAGCTATGTAAGCTGTTCTACATACATTTCTAATACTCTTTGGTTGGGATTTTGGCATTGATTGAATATTTTCACTCCTCATTTACAGTTCTTATATTTGCATTTTGCAGGCTTTTGTTTTATTCTGCCTCTTCTGCATTTGACTTCAAATACTATTTTCACTATAAACTCAGCTTCCACCATTCACATTGCATTTTCACAGCAAATGCAATTTTTTCTAGTTCCTTCCCATTTTTAAAGTAGAGAAGTGAGAGATACCAGTGGCGCAGCATTTTGCAAAAAAAAAAACAAACAAAAAAAACAAAAAAAAAAACCACCAAAAACGACACACATTTCCAGGTATTTTTTAATATACTGTCATAAGAGTTTGCATTGGAAGTCAGGAGTAAATGGTGCTTAAATCTGCATCCTACTACAACATGTGATCAGAAACAGGACAAACAGTCACGGCCCGAGTTTTTTGCCAAATCCGATCTCGAGTAGCGACAGTTTCAGTTTAATCACATCCTGCCAAGCATTCCAGCTTGAAGTTCTGATTAAAAAGGTTTTAAAATCAAAGATGCTGAGATATTCTTTTCATGTGGATGAAAAGAATATCTCAGTGGCAGTGCAATTTGGCAGTGCAATTTGGATTATTTTTTACTGACATAAATGCCAATGCCCTGTTGAACGATGCTAGAAGGTGACATCAGATGTTTACCCTGTATTAACAGTCAAGATGCTCTGTTTTAAACATGTTTATTGCTAATGTGAACCCTTTGCATCTTGTATTTCTTATATTGTTTTCATGCTTTCTTCAGTTTGACAGCACAACTGCATGAACTTACTTTTTTTACAAGCTAAAAAGTCAATGTATTTTATTGGGATTCCATGTCACAGATTAACATAAAGTGGTGCATTTTTTGAAGTAAGAGGAAAAATCCACTTTCTGCAAGAGCCAAGTGGCAAAAATGTTAGTTTTTAATGGGAAAAGATGGTAAAGATATAACCCAAAAGCCTGCTGCTTATTAATCACATAAAATCCCAAGTTTACACATTTAAATGTAGTAAAGTTACGATATTAATACTTTTGCAAAGCACAACAGGAAGTTTCCAGTCTGATTTGGTTGTTTTATGGCCAAACCTCACCCAGATCATATTTTGGACCCTTTTTGGCTAATTGTTCAGCTGTAGGCAGGACGAAGAGTCTCTAATAAAAGACTTGTGCTTCCATTCGGTGGCAGTGAATCACCGCTGTCACTTGAGTCCCAAAGCTTTTACAACAGCACCATATCTAGATGCATAAGTACAGTCACATGAAAACGTTTGGGAATCCGACAGCCTCCATAATACATGCTAAATTTCCAAGTAGCATCTTCAAACTGGGGTGATCTCTAAAGAAAAAAATGGTGATTTAGTTGTACAAAAGACATGAAAATACCTTTAAATTCATGTAACAGCTTGATATCAGTTACTTCACTGCAAAAAAACAATGTCTTAAAAATTTTTTTGTCTATTTTATGGTGCAAATATCTCAGTACACTTGAAATAAGTCAAAACTAACTTACAAGTAAATTCTCAGCAACATATGGAGATTGTTTTAAGTAAATAATTCCTGAATATTGATGGAAAAAAGAGTTCCACTTGTAGATTATTCCGGAATCAACGGGCAATGCGCCGTTACTTAGCAACCCCAGCCAAGCCCAGCCCGTTACCTAGCAACCCAGTTCTAGTTCCACTGGCAGATTATTTCACTAATAAGAGATAATGCCATATTGTACACGGCCAAAACAAACTTGAGTTTTAAAAATCAAAACTTTTAAAACTGATTTTCAAACTTTTCCAAAAACATGTCCAAGTTTTTTTTCTAGAATATTTGTGATTAATGTCACAATTTCAGAATTTTTTTCAGCAAATGTTTGACTCTTGAAACTCAGAAATTTCAATGTTTTTTCCAAGGAAATTTCTGAAATCCAGCTCAAACTTATTTTTTTCCTCACAAATTTTCAACTTATGAAACTCTGAAATTTCCCCGTTTTTTTTTTTCTAAAAAATGTCTGACATTAATCTAAACTTTTATTTATTTTTTTTAGCTTTTTGGTAAAACTTAACTCCTTTTTATTTCCTATTGGCCCTAATGTGCTGTCGTACTTTAAGGATGCGATAAAAGCTTCTATCTTTAACTTTCCCTCAGTTGTTTGTGAATCACAATACGAGTCCATCATTGTTGCAAAACTGGAAAACTGCAGACTAGTCAGCTACTTTGTGTACAGTCTGTGTAGTTCTTCCTACCAATATGGCGCCTGGCGGTTGCATGATGCCATCTTATGAAGCATCATGCAACCGCTTGTTATAACTTATAACTTACTTTTATAAGTAAGTTGCACCTTTGAAAGCCAAAATGAGAAGGCGTTCCCAAACTTTTTCATATGCCTGCACACACATAGATATATTTATATATAGAAGTATTATTTGTTTTATAGCAGGGAGAATACATTCAGTGCAAACCAACTGTCCCTCTGGTTATCAACGTGTCCCTCAGATTTCCTGTCAAGGCAGCATAAAAGGAGAAATTATGGCTCTTATTGTGGAATGTACCGTTCTAATCTAAAAAGCCGACGTTCAGTAATAGTTTGTGGTTTTTACACTGCAGAGAGGAGATGGCTGTGCTCTCCAGGAACCGAGCAGTTCATTAAAATACTTAAAAGGGTAATGCGCAATAACAGTTAAGTTAGACAAGTGATGCAGACTGTAAGGTAGAAATCGGTGCCCAGAAACTCGTGGCGACCAGCTGAAGGAGTGCCGTAGTTCTCAGATTTATTCCTCCAGACAGACTAAACTCAGCCGGAGTGAAGAGCAACAAAGTCGGAGCAGGAAATGGAAAAACGAAAAGCCTAACGGTTCGTTAAGTGGAAGACGTCTCTGTTCTGTGTCCTCAGAATGGACTAAAAGAGATGCAACTTAAACTCCTGAAGATCTGGAAATGAGAGGGAAGACAGAAGAGGAAAGAAGAGCATTAAGAGGGGAAAAATAGAAAAAGAGCTTATTATAGCTAACGACACAGATTTTAGATTGGGAATATCAGAAAATGGACCCAGAGAAATGAGATTTACCATTCTTCACTACAGTAATAATAATAATAAAAAAAAAAAAACAGCTAATGATCGAGAGAAGAAAATGCATAAGTATTTAAGCAATTGTAACTATAATTAAATGCTTTTATAGTTTGTTTGACACTATTAAATGTGGAAACTATGACATTTAAATTTTAATTCTTTATGGCAAAAAGCCCACATAACTATTTTAGTTTTTAAGCATTTTCAGGGTTTCCCTCAGTGTATTATCAGCCTGGCGGGCCACCAGGCTTCACTTGTGCCCCCACCAGGCTTAGCATTGTTAATTTATCTTTTCTTATTATTATTGCCTTTTTTAAGACTTTATAGTTGGTATTAGGCATTGATCTTCCAGTCTTCCAAAAATGCATAACTATCTAGTAATATTTTCAATTTCCTGTCAACTTTAAACATTTTTTAAGTCAAAAACATGGCGGCCACTGGACGAATGACTGTGCTGGCGCTCTGAGCATCGAGGTTAAAAGGTTTTCGGGAGGAAACTCTGATTTTATTTTCTTATGTCGCAGCAGATTGAGAAATAATTTTCTACATTTAGGCAATAGAAACAAGGCGATTGGTCAGCAGACTTTAAATTATTTCA